GCTCTTTACGGTCAGTTTTTTTGCTACTGCGGCTATTGTAGTGATCTAATATAAGAAAGACCACCTGTGAGCCCAACGAGTACATGGCAATAACTCACTATAACCTGGTTGTCAAGAAGATAGGAATATTCGGACAATACATGTCTAAATGATCGTGATCCGAATTGTGTGACTACCTGATGATGAAGACAAAAGTGCCAACGTGAGACGTACATCTGCAACGAATAGTGACAATATACTCTTTGTTGTTTCACTAGTCTTCCATCAACCATAATGAAAAATACTTCCAAGCCTGACTGTCCGTATTATGCGATCATAACAAAGAGAATGTAATAAAATTTTAGAGTCAACATAAATGGTAATATTCTGACTTGCTGGACCCATATGAAAACTGCACTCTTTGTTCATCATTGTATTAAACGCGACGATTGCATTGTCGTAGAACCCCACTTTAAAAGGTGGCCCCTAAACAGTGCGTTACCGCATTATACATGGTATTTCCCTAAATAGTCGTACTGAGTCCATTGCAAAACATTTGTCGACAGAAACATGCATGCGCTCAATAGTCTTCAAAGTAGGACCGTTCCGCATCCACGAACCCTTGCCAGCGGGTCTTCCAGCTCTCATACGCTTCCTCGAAGGCGGTACCCGGAATGCTGTTGAGCTCCCTCGTCACGGCCGTTTGAAACGCTTCCACTAAACTACAATGGTGTCCGGCGAGGGCGGTTTTGAGGCAGAGGAAAATGAAAAGTCTGACGGGGCAAGGGCAACGTCGGGACTGTAGGGTGGCTGAGGCGCGGTTGCGATGTTGTGTTGGGCCAGGTGCGTCGCCACGCGGAAGGCTGTGTAGTTCGTCTGACGGCACTTGCGGCAACCTCGCGCACATCTTTCTCAGTTGCAATTTTTCGCGCACTTGTTTTTTGGCAATGCCAAGTTCATGTGAGCAGTTAATCTGTGGCCACTATCCACATTCTTCACCCTTGTCACATTTTCGTCAGTTTTTGAGAATAATCTCCTTGTACTTTCTCCTTCTTACTTTTCACGACTCTGAAAATACAAGAAAAACCGTTAAGTAGAGTTACACAGAATGGCCAAATGTTAAAGAAACTTATCTGTCGACCAGCGTCAGACACGTTAGATAGAAAACTCAAATAAAAAAATAGTAATAAAAGGCTCATACAAATGAACACACTCTTGTAAAAGATAAAAGAAAACTTACTTAAAATATTTGCAGACCAACACATTGAAGCTAGGTTAAAGAGTTATAAAATGTGTGTTATCAGGATGGAAGAAATCAAACTAAAAATTGAAAGTTCGGTTAAGTACATCTCTCGAATCTCCATCCTAAGTGAAAAACTGTTAACATATTATAAGAATTTATGGAAAAATCCAGGTCTGCTAAAATTGCAATGCGAAGGATGAATGTCATTAATGAAGATACATGTGGAAAAGAAAACTGTGGCTTCAGGATAGGGACATCACGGTCAGACTGTGTCTTCGTAATGGAACAACAAATTCAGAAGCATAGAGGAAACTATTTCCCTACCTGCAACATCGTCATAGATTTCGTAAAAGCTTTCGACTGAGTGTTCAGGGAAAGGTTGTGGGACAGTCTTAAGATGCAGGGAATTCCAAACCAAACCAACTAGCGCGATAAAAGTTATGAAAAGCTTGTATAGTGATAATAAAATGTGTTGCAATACGAATTGTCAGAAAACAATCAGTAATATAAAGGAGAGTAAAATAAGGAAGCCCACTGTCCCGTGCTCTTTTTACTTTCTCGTATTCGTAGCTGTATATCGAGAAATGCGATACGCATAGTGAAGTTATGTAATGGTACAGAAAAGCGATTTCAAGGAAAATATACATTTTGGGGACCCCTCCTACTGAAAAAGTATTTTTCAAAACGTCCGTCCATCTGTAACAATACCAGCGCATAATTTATTTACAGGATTTTTTCCAAACTGAATATTCCACGGTTGATCTGACACGACACAAAGCCAGTTATTTTGAAAAGAATTCGTTAAATTTCGGGAGCACTTTACCGGTCCCAAGGACGATTCCAAAATTTCCTGAAAAACCACACCATTTTTTTTACTTTGAATTTCTTTTAAGAATAGAATTAAACACTTGTAAAGACGCTGTAGATCCGATTTTCTCAGTTAAAACTCATTTTACAAAAATTTGATATTCATTCAGCGAATTCTAAAAAGTACAATACAGAAAGAAATCAAATTTGTTCTCTACAATTAGTTCTTAAAATAATATCATATTTTTTCAAAATATTAGTAATTTTGAGTGTAAAATTGGTAACATAAAAATATTTAAAACAATATTTTCTCAAATACTGCTCCAATATATTTCAAACGGGTTTGAATAGATACTGCTAATTGCGTGATAATATAAATGTCATTTTGCTGTCTTCTAATTCTAAAAACTCTTATTGCCTGGCTCTGGTAATGAAAAAGTGAGTAAATCTTTTCCCTATATAGTATATAGCAAATTACTTCCTCTAACATGTGTAGTCAGAATCCTTTTTTGTTGGTCTCTTATACCGAACAATTGATTGAGAGCAATATGTATCTGTCCGTCGGTTGTCAACGCTATCGATTTTCTCCAATTGATATTCTCCAGTTGATCTGGCTGATGTCGTAGCCCCGCGAATTTGAAACCAATATTTTAATTGTGTTATATGATGTTCCTGGGATATTTTCTGAATTAAATAAAATTGTCCAATTTTTTTAAATTAAATTTTGTTGTTGGATAGCGTAAACGCGAGTAGTGGTCTGATTTTCGTTAAAAACACTGATTTTTTGAAAAGTTCAGTTCTTTTTCGGCGTCTTCCTACAACTAAAACATTGAAGATTAAATATTTCTCCCTTAATGATCTGTGTCTTTTAAAGGCAGGTGTTGAAATAAGGTCATGTACAATCTTTTGAAAATTTGACTGCTTTTCGCTTAGGTTTGCATGAAATATAGGCAATTATTAATTTTTTAAAACCATTTTATCCATTTCTTTGCTCAAAAACTGCATATTTTTTATAATGTTTCTGCTTATATGTATCAAAGGAACGTTCGTTCGCCTTTTATTTTAAGTCCTCTCTCTCTCTCTCTCTCTCTCTCTCTCTCTCTCTCTCCCTCTCTCTCTCTCTCCCTCTCCCTCCCTCTCTCCCTCTCTGTCTATTTTAACGAATTATGAAAAATATGCCGCTATAATTACACGAATAAGCACGAACAGGAAAAAGCGGCCAAATAGGCAAAACTGTGCACTGCCATATCAATCTATATAGCATCCAATTCGTACAAAATGTCAAGAAATTTCACTTCATAAAAATACAAATGTTATTCCTATATTATTCGATTCACTACTTTCATAACGAAGTGAATTTGCACTCGTGAATTTTGTCCCTAAAATAGTTACTTATCGAGGACCGCTTGGCAGAAATAACAGAAAAAAATAATTTTGATTACGGCTTGATATACTTTCGTTCACTTTGGTTCATCCAATACAGAACATGACGTCGGTGTGGTGGGAATGAGGCAAAGTAGGTCTTTCTCTTGGGGTAAGAAGTGTGTAAGGTCACAGTCGTTTTGATTATTTGTGATAATTGACGCTTTGTTTCTGTAGTTATTCTCATACAGGGGTGATCAACTAAAGAGTTAATATAATCTACAAGTATTATGAAATTATTACGAATATTCTCAAGAGTATTTTGTAGAATTCTTCTACAAGATTGAAATAAAATTTTCGCATTCTTGCCTTGTTAAGCGCTTTAATATTAAAGAAAAATTATTGAAATCGTGTGGCGGAATTTTTGTTGTTGATAAAAATACTCTTCTTGCCCGGGCGTGGTATAAAAAAGTGGATAAAACTAGTTCCTATACGCAGCAAATTACTTCCTCTAACCCGTTGTGTAGGGAGAGTGGACCATTTCCTTGAAATCGCAAAATGCACTGACAGCAAAGCTTGTCTGTGTCATTGTTTCCTTCCGGCTGTCTGTGAACAACATGCCTAAACCGTTCAGACGATTTTCTCCAAAATTGATATTCCCCGATTGTTCTGAACGAATTCAAGGCCCTGCAAGTTTGAAATGGATATTTTAATTTTGATACATTACATGCACCCTCAGCATTTTCCAAACTTTCTGAAAAATAGCTGCTCATATTTTAATAAACTTTTGCTGAGATAGCGCAACAGGCGCTTGAAAATTGTGGAGGTCACATTTTCGCTTGAATATCTGAATATTCGAAAATTACAGAAGTTCATAATTTTCCAGCATTTTCTACAACTAGTGTCAAAAATGGATGTTTTTCTCAATGAAGTCTGATTTCAGTCATCATGAAATAAAATTTTGAGAAATTTCGCTTGAAATATACGCAATTTTATAATTATTTTTTCAAAAACTCACTATATTTTTTCTTTAAATTTTCTCCTTGTATGTTGTAACTTGTAAGAAAATTGATGTTTATACTATTGCTGACGATACTATATTTTCGAAAATTGGAAAAGATTAACATTGTAAAAGTACAATAGAGATTTTTATTAAATAAATTGTTTTAAAAATATACCTTTAAATAAGGTCATGTACATTTTTTAAAGTCGTGTTTTTGCATAATTTGACTGTAAAAAATGTACACCTGATGCAATTTATTTCCAAAACTGCTTAATTTACCCCCTTGGTTAGAGAAAGGACGCTGAAAAATGACGCGGGTTTCATTTTCATTAAACATGGTTAATTTTCGAGAGTTCTGAAAGTTAAAAGTATTGCGAGAAAGTATGTGCTGTTGTATCTACTAGTGTAACGTCTATATAGTTTTTATTAGTATTCTGTAAAAGGTTTCATTGTAAGATTTATCTCAGTTAGGAGGAAAGTATGGTATCTTACCTAACTGCGGCCAACATTAACTTGATGGGACTTTGTCACGAAGAATTGATAAGATGCGGTATCTACCCGTATTACGTGATTGACCATCATATGTATGTGGAAGATCAGTCTTGGCCCAGACGTCAGTAATTGCACTGTATAAGAGCCTGAGAAGAGTACTGTGTGTACAGCTCCGTGTCGGTGTATGTTGACGTGCGTAGCAGGACCTGAGCCAGCCCGAGTACGATGGGCTTCTGGGCGTTTGTGGGCCTCTTGCTGGTGAACTGGTGGACCGCGTTGGCGTTCGCCGGAGCCCTGGGGTTCCGGTTCTGGTACAGAAAGAACATCGGCTTCTGCACCTGTCAAAACCGGCTCGATGGACGGACCGCTCTAATCACCGGCGCCAACACAGGTGAGCTACTTCCAGTTCTGCTTAATGTCCCTTTATTAAATAATAATCCCTTTGTTATGATTGTTCGTAATTAGAATAATGATTTCCTTACGAATCTAAGTTTTTGATAAAAGATAATTTCAGCTTCTAAACTTAGGTAAATGTGTATTGTGGTATGCTTATTTAAAAATGTTTTCTTTTCCCCGATATGTTGGCTTTTGTGGCGACTTTTTAGAGAAATGTATAATGTATTTTTGAACGCTTTTAAAAAAGTATACTACGTATTTATAATTTTACCAGCTTGTTAAAACTGTTATTCCTTTTTTATTGTATAAAAATGTACTTCTCGAATATAAAAGTAAAATTGTGTATGTTCGTATGTGTCACTTAAAAACTTATGAAAATTTTAGTACCACTAGACTGGTTGCTCTCAAATTTGGCACGAATATTTTCGAGCGGCCAAAAAGAGCACGTGTGCGATTCGAAATGCCCCAAATGTGTTTTTTACAAACAGCAGAACCCCGGTAATCCGAACTAATTGGGGGTGTGGTCTGTTTGGATTCAGAAATGTTTGGATTATACCGAAAAAAGCTGTACTTCTACAAATACATCTTGTTTAGAATGAAGTGTACATCTAGGTAAGATACGAGAAAATGGAAAGAAACGTAGCGATCATCGTATCATCAAGCAGATTCAGTTCCTTAACGGCGAACGATTACCGATTTTGCAAGTTCCTCTAAGTGAAAATTATTGCTACATAAACATGTGATATACACCATAGTTACCAGTTTCATGAACGTTTCATTTCTACAAATTGCGTTTCAATAATTAGTTGTTCAGTTTTACAGTAATTATGAAATCCCTTCAGTACACCACAAATCAACATTTTATTTATTTTGTTTATTTTTCCCGCGTCCCGAATTTTGTACGGATTATCCGAAATTTCAGATTTGCGGGGTTCTGATTAGTGAGCTTCTACTGTGTGCTACATCTTCTATTTGGGCGGCAAGAGCGCAAAAAGCGAAGCGGGATGAGAGGGAGGAAGGAGTCGGGAGGTGTGGCCAGGACAGCTATGACAAGATGCATTTTTATGAACTTGTGCTGCAGGTATCGGGCTGGAGACGGCAAAGGACCTAGCCCGTCGAGGGGCCCGAGTGCTGTTGGCCTGCAGGGACCCCCAGAAAGGACAGAAGGCGCTAGGTCAGTGCAGTTCATTATTCCAAATAAAACGCATGGTACTATTTAAAACAATTGCAATGAACATTTGGGCAGCAACTTTGCTTCACTTTATTTTATTTCCGAATGACATCTGATGCTCAATCCTACCATTTCGAGTGTTGGTGAACTTATTCCGCTTACATAATAAGAGGATTTGGCAGGGCAGCTAGAAATTTGACTTGTGTTTTACCAGTGTAGTTTGGTTCAAAACATCATTCAAGCAAGAATTATATAATGCAGTAGACTAATTTACTTTTACTAGACATTGAAACTTTTAAATTTGTTTTTGAAAAACCTACATCTTCGGGTTTGAGAATTGTAGCAGATTCGTGGATGTTGAAGGATACTTTAAGCAGAAAATGATATACGTAACACGATTCACATCTCTAAAATATTTTAAAAACTACCCTATGAAAGTCACCCTTGTTTTGGGTTGTCTTCGATACCCCAAATTGAAGATGATATGAAGGCGTGGTTTAATTATCAACCCTCGTTAAAATTTTTCAGACAGTTTTCTTTTCATTTAGTCTTAAATATAGGAGGTGACTTTGATAGGAATAGTTGAACGTCTGCGTTTGAAATAACAGGCAGAAAGGAATTTCTTTTATATTGTGATAATTTTAAGGATCATTTCTAGAAAAGACATTTTATGCAAATAATCTCTTAACTATATTTTTTTACAGAACCATGAAATTTGTAAGTCATTCTTACGTCATTTCCTTTATCTGGAACAGGCAAAGTTGCCAAAATGTCCTCAAAATCAACTTTAAAGATAATTTTTTAACGAGTTTGAATATCCGATGAGTGGTATGTACACTTTTCAAACCAATTATTCTATATTTCCACTCA